CGGAAGATTGAAGAAATTCAGAGGATAAGGTTAGGAGAGAGAATAAGTTTTGGAGGAGTTTTTTTTGAAGAATCAGAGAGCTAGCTTCATGCTTCGGGCGGGGAAAAAAGATAGAGAATTGGGTTTTTTTTCTTCATAGGGTTTTGGGAAGACTGAGGCAATCGTTGCTGAAGTCAGTGTTGTAATGGTGAATCGAGATTTTTAATGAAGTGGGTTTGATTACTCTTGACTGTTTTGTGAAATCGAGTTGCGTCTGTGATGAAGAGTTAAAAGGGTGTCTATAGGATTGAGTATGTGGAGTGAATGAAATTTATTGGGTTAATCTAACAAGACAGTCAGTGGATACAAGATCGTGAGTATAAAGCGGTATCGAAGATTAGCAGTTTGGATTGTTTAGGGTTCTCTGTAACATCTAGAGACCTACCGACTGGGGCAAAAAGGACTTCGACAAGCAGTCGAAGGGCATCCGTATAGATTTACGGTGTATTTTTGCAGTTGTTTGTATTCCAACAGTCAAAAATCGATAAACTGCTTGAATATTGGCGAATCTCCATACTACCTTCTACAGCCAGACGCTCGACGCGTTCTCGAGCAGGAAAGCACGTAATACGACAACGTGAGAATCAACAAAAAGTCTAGTTAATGCACTTCAAAAGATACAAGAGTCTTATCAATACTATTCTTAAAAATCTAAACCTATTTTTAAATGACTTTTCATAGAGCTACTATTAAATGTTGTATATAATAAAAAAAGTAGATATGAAATTGATGCTCCTTGTAGAACTTAGAGTTAGAAGAAGAGGTGATGTTACAGACATCCAACAAGAAGATTTTAGAAATATTCTATTAGATTTTAAAATATTTCATAAAATTTTTAGAAGCTTCTAAAAGATTCTTAAAATATTCTAAAAGATTTTAAAAAGTTCTAAGAAGAAAACTAAAAAATTATTTAAGAAGCTTCTTAAGTTTTTTATTTTATTTTATTTTATTTTATATATATATATATATATATATATAAGCAACATGGAAACTTTTTAAGAAGCTTTCTAATACCTAATATATATTGGAGTTGAGGCTAAGAGAATCCTCAGTCTTAACAATATATCTTTTAGAATTCTAACTTACTTCTCTTGGTATTGATCTTATACTCATCTAGTTTAATTAAGTTCTTATTAGCTTTCTTATTGAAATTCTTTTGTTTAACTTCTTGTTTGATCTCATGTATAGTATATCTATAATAATATATACAAATATGACCATTTTTTACAACTTTATTATAAAATCATATAATATTTTGGAAGTATAACATAATTTTTTTTAAAGATTAATTTTTTTTAGAGATTTTTAAATAAATTACTTTTTTATAATAAAATTTAGATATTAAAATTAATTTATCCTTGTATATGGAAAGCTTATTTATAAGCTGTAATTCTTAATTGACCTTCACATTAATGAGAATATATATATAATTTAGAAATAGAAAATTGGATTCGACTTAATCAAGTGTACCATATAGTGTCATGGACATAAATCTTGAAGAACCAAAAAACTCAATATACTCTTATGTAATTCAAAAAGAATAGATATTCAATAAAACTTAATATAGTATTAAAATTATAATAGTTATTGCCAAAAATAAGAAGACTAAAAAGTCTTAAAATAAGATTAGAGACTAAAAAGGCATTGATAAGAGTTAAAAAGGCTTCATTCTTCCCTCCACATATATTATCAATTACAAGCTATGTAGTGGAATCCTTTAAGACTTCCAATATGAGTCTAATTTATAAGACATGTGTCTTAACTTGCAAGGCAAGTTTCTTACATGCATGCCACATCGTTAGCTTGTACTACAAACTATCTACATGTAAAATATATGGCTTACTTATTGGCTAAGTTTTTAACCTATCAATCAACTATAAATATGTATAAAATCAAATATGTTGTGATGTAGTAATATGACTATATGGTAAAAAATAAAAATATGAATGTTATTATAGAAGAGCCTAGTAGGAATATGTGATAGAAAAATAAGAATAAATGATAGGAAGATAATAAAAAGTTTAGTTTTAATATTGTCTTTTAGAGAAAGAGCTTCTATTTGCTTTGTAGAGACATAAATTCTTCAAATCAAAATAAATGAGATAATTAATTAATATAAACATGTTTAAGAGGGAGTTATTAATAGATTCAAGTAAAAATTACCTCAAATTATCAAATATTGATATCCAAAGAGGACTAGTTATTAACCTAGGTTGAAATCAGAGCTCAAGGCACAAAAATATTTACCTATGGAAACTTTGGGATTATTTAGTAGATTGAAGAATGGAATTTGAGAAAAAAACTTCCAAAGAGATTTTTGAGCATTAATTTTGTATCAATTGAATTAATATTCAATTTATGGGATATTTTTAAAGTTATTGATTTTCTTGGTTGGATTAGATTTTTGAACAATAAAATTATGTTTACAAAATTGAAGATTTTTTAAATTTTGTAGTATGTATATAGAAGAATTTTAGGTAACATTTTGATGTTCTAGTTTTTAATTTGTGTGAAAATTTTGATGTGAATCAAATAGGTAGATTGAAGTGTATAAAGGATTTTGTGGATTGAGGACTTCAAAATTGAATTTGAAGGTCAATAAATATTTTTAAGATCTTTAGCAATCTATTAGTTGGATCAAAGTGAATTTTTTTTATATAGAGACTAGACTTAATTTTCAATAGTTTAGATATCTCTTGGAGGCAATTCAATGGTTCAAGAAGGAAATATTGGTATTGGAAGTTCAACGTTTAGATTGGAATAGGAAGCTAGCCAATACGTGAGCAGAATTTAGATTTGATCTACTTCAAATTTCATGTGCTTGTTGTCAACTTAGTTTTTGAAAGGTGTGTAAAATCTTAAGCAAGATCAATAATATAATTGATAGCTATTGAGGTTCTAAACTGCCCCAAAGTTAAGTTAATTTGATTAGGATTTAGTTCAAGGTTTAAAAATTGAATAGGATTTAGGATTTAATTAGTTTTGACTTAGGATTTAAGTAAGGACTATTAGGATTTTAACCAGGATTAAAATAAGATTTGATTGGAATATATATAAGATATATTTTGGATTTTATTTTAATACTTCTTTTGAATTTCTTTAGGATTTTTTCATGCTTCTTTTATTATTTCTTTGAGGTTTCTTTGGATTTGATTGAAGCTTGATTAACATTGTTAAGGTTTAATTGGAATTATTTAGAATTCTATTAGAATTAGAATCTTATTATTGCAATTTTCCTTCTACCTTCTACAATTAGATACTCGGTGCATTTTCAAGCAAGGCTTCACATAATATGACAATGCATCTATGAAGCTTTTAAGAAGCTTTGTCACAAGATAATATCAAATCTACTTATATTTACTTTTTATGTAGTACTTATCATCTAGTTAAATGTGTATATCTGTGATTTATAATTTTATTCATACTTAGAAGTTCAATATGAAGATGAATACTTATTTATTATAAGAATATCAATTGATATTGTTAGTGAAGTAGGTCATAATTCTAATAAATTTAATCTTTTTGAAGGTTCTTTAAGTAAAAAACTCACTCTCAATTACAACTGGTTATGTCTAACTTCCAAATTAGAAATACAAGTAAATAAAACAACTTAAATGACAAATAGCTAGAATAACTAAAAGAACATCAATATGATTTCAATGTCAAATCATAAATAGTATTCTTCTTGGATACAATGATGTTACTTTTGTTGATGAAATAGAAGATCAAAAGTCTAATAGTGGTTATGAGTTCCTGCTAAGTAAAGCTGCAATAAGTTGGAAGAGTAAAAAAACAAAACAATAGATCACTTTCTAGTATTAAATCTAAGTATATGGCCTCTTCTAGTGATCTAAGAAAGTTCATTTGGCTCTAAAGTCTATTTGAGGATTTTCACCATACACAAGAATAATCCACTATTATTTATTATAATAATTAGGATGGAATTGCTTTGAATAGAGAATTTATTCTTTTTAAATTAAACAAACATATTGAAGTGAAGTATCACCATATTAGAAGTTGAGAAGGTATTTTTGTTAATATTGAATTTATTAGTACTAATAAAATAATAGCTGACATTCTAATAAAAGTTTTTTTTGAAGTGAAGTAACAACTCTTCTCTTTACATATGGATTTGCAATTGAATTGATCGTTTTTAGTAGAAGTATAAAAGTTTAATCATTATAGTCAATCTTTCTTTATATATAGGATGCTCACTTATGAGCTGTACTTCTTAATCTAGCTTCATATTGATGAGAACATGTATATGGTCTATAAATAAGAGATTGGATTTGACTTGACAATTTTTACCACATGGATTTATTTGTACTTAGAAGTGTATGTTATTCCTAATCCTAATTTATAAGAAAACATATATATGCTAATGAATGCTTAAATGAGAACTATCTTTTTTACAACAATCAATGTGTACACTCTTAAATGACTTTGACCAAGATATTAGATTGTAACTCTAAGTTGTTGTGTATACTTAAACTTCTAATTTGGGAGTCAAACTAATTCTTTTCTATGTGAGTTGATCATAATTTATGATCTAAAAATTGAATAAGTTGAACATATAGTCCAAAGAAGAATTGATTATCACGTAGTATATTAACCAATGTCATTTAGAAGAGAGTTGAGTCAAAGTGAATACCTATTTTTTGTAACAAAGTCAAAAGTCTACTAATACTAGTAGTGTAATTGGTGATAAATCTAATGACTTTAATCCTTTTTAGTCTTAACAAATGAGAAATTCAATTCTATTATGTTTAAATTGCATACCAAAAAACCAAAACATTCTGCAAGTAATTCCTTAAAGTATTAATTTAAATTTTTTGTTTGCAAAAGCTTTGTACATTTTAAGTATTCCAGACTAAAACAATAGATAAAATTCATTTATGGTTTATTCTTTTGACATCAAATCTTACATATTATAAAAGAGAATGATGCACTTACAATACATGTCTCGAAAGGAAATTGGACATATAAAGTTATACGAGTTATTCCCATTTAACTTGAGTAGAGAAACTGCGCATCAGAACAGACCGTGACAGGCCAAGAATATTGAACTCTGGTGAGAGCAATAAGAATGGAGAATAAGCTACTTTGCCAGACACAAAAGAGACGAGCCTTGTCTCTTCACCACAGAAACTGCATATTCATGCATGCTAATGTTTCTTCTTCTTCTTCTTCATCCACTTATGATTTACTTGGTTTCCGGATGAGACAAGCTGCCACTAAAGGTTGAATAACCGACAGAAAACGGAAAAATAAAAAAGAAAAACGCGGATAATTTCGCCTCGGATAGGGGGTTTCTCACTCCCAATAGAGTCCAAAACCGATTTCTTTGGGGTCCTTGTCTGTCATCCACGGTGACCTGCATGTCAAGGTGCAATTTTTCTATTAAAAATGAAAGAAAGAAAGAAAGAAAGAAAGAAAGAAAGAAAGATAGCCAGACAGACAGAAACATCGTCGTGAAACGAACTGCTGCGAGAAGAGAGTGATTTGAGGTGAGAATTGGTGAGAAAGTTGAGTATGCTAGAGCTCTCCATGATCAGTTCCTTACATTGCAATGGAAAAAGCACAAAAAACAAAAAAATCATTGCGTATTCTGAGCTTGACACACGGATATGGTATGATGGTGAACGCAAGATGAAAAAACACGACGACGTACTTGTTCATGACGAAGTTCAAGGTGCCTTCGGCTGCCCGCTCCAGCAACTTCGGTCTCGCTGATTCGGCTATACCTCCCTCCTACAGTTCACAGACGCTACAATCTTTAAAAGCTTGTATCTCATTCCATGTTTTTGAAAAGAAGCTAGCCAAGCAGATATCCATCAACAGCAGACACGATAATTGAAACCGTTAAATAAATTATGGGTGGTTTACCTCCTCTGGAAACCACACACCAGGTTGCGTTGCACCTTCCAGCAATGCTCTGACGAATGCAGCTACCGACATGCCAACGCTTCTGCATGGCATGAAAGCTGAGAGCATTACTATCTTGCAGGCGCATCACCAAGATTCCAAATAGTGTTGCAGATCTTAGGAAAAAAAAGAATGCTGTGTGAGGGCGTTTTGAAGAGCTTACACAGAAAGCATTTTGTGGCTAAATATACCGATTGCTTTTTTCCCATTCTCACCCTCGTAGTCAACCTGCGAGTTCAAGCCGATTCAAATTAAGCTGCAATGCTTGACACATGCGCACACACTCACACGGAAAAAGAGAGAGTCTTTGAGGCAAGAGCCAACGAAGAAGCCACTATTGTTGACGACTAGAATGACAGCAATGAAATGTCTGGAGAAACAGACCCGCATGGAAACTTTCTCTCCTGCAAAGCCATCCACTGCCCGCACTGCAATGTCCGACAACTGCACTAACCCCTGTACCTTCTGCTGATCTTGCAAGATGTCCTGCATACATATAAAAGGAGTAAGTGATCGAGCTTACAAAAATATTAGGTAGCAAGTCCTGGTTCTGCTGGAGAGGGAAAAGGTTGAATCTAGTCTTCTTCTCGATTTGAAGCAGTAGAGGGATTAAAGTACCTTAGGTACCAATGAAGCAACAAGGCCCATCGCAATGTTCCAAATTTGGGGATATGTTCCAAACCGGGCACTCACGCTTGGAACCTTCAGTACTTCGTGTGTACTTCTCACCTCTGGAAGATTCCTGTATTCATTAAACAGAAATCGTTTACTCTTTCAGAAACGTGCCAAGAATACGGCACATCAGAACATCCACAACCTTCAAAACTCTTCTGCACATCCTCAGTCGATCATGAAGTCCAGAAACCTGCTTTCACCTACAGCTGGTTCTTCAGGTTGAATAACACAAAGTCTATATGTTTGCACTGCAGCAATCACTTCTCTGTAATTAACAGGCGAAACCTAAACTTCAGAGAGATGTTAGATACATTCCCCCACCTGGATTTGCAGACTTGCACATCTACGGTGATAGACAAAACTAATCAAATGGAGGGAACCACGTACAAGAGATACACAGGCTTTTTACCGATCCCTCTTCCGAAGTCCACGTCTCTTCGGGCACTGTAAGCTTTCATCTTCTGCATTTTACCTGGGGAAACACCCAAGTTGGATACACACTCTTGACTTCATTCACAATCCTTTAACAAATTTTCAAAATCAACATAAAGATTATGAGGTTTTTAAAATCTGTAAGCAACGGCAACCTTACCGTCCACGTAGACTATAGCCTCCTCTCCCAATAATAGAAAACTGGTAGCAAGAATGGTCGGTCCAGCGCCACCCGACCCTGCTGTGTAATATGAATACCTGAACACGTTTGTCAGAACAATGCAGCAAATACTAGCAACGGGGTATCTGAGGTTCTTCTAAGTACAAGTGTCCTTACATTCTAATGCTTAATAATTATTCACAACAAACTCACGAATCCTGATGGATTCTGGAACCTCAACAATATGTCGGTTGAAAGAGATCTTACCGGATTCGTTTGGCTTTACCATTCAAGCGCACCAGTTCTGCAGCCATAACTGCACAATCCAGCCGATAGTATCAGTGCGTGAAACTAATCGAACTCTTGCATCTCGTTTTCAGAATAAAAAAATAAAAAATAAAAATAAAAATAAAAGTCTACTAAAAAGACTAACCATGGATCGGACATGAAAATGAATTTAAAGGACCCACTGTTACTGATTCCCGGGTAGATTCCACCAGTTGTGATGGCTGGAATCCCTGCCGCTACAGCTCTGTCGTGGTAGGCTTTGGCACGCATCGAATAGTCTTGGTCGTCGCACACGTCAATGTATGCTGTCTGAACAACCATGCGAATATATCCCATGTTGCACTCAGACACGTTTTTACAAGTAATAATCACATCGGTTGAAGTGTATACCACCATACAAAAAGGATCAAAAGAAGGCGAGAGCGAGAGAGCGAGAGAGAGAGAGACTGACTTTGGTATCTATCGCTGCCTCCAACACTGCACACTCCACTCGTCGCTGGAAGGGGCCTGCTGCGTGCACCACCAAATCTACGCCATCTATGGCTGCTCTTACTGCTGATGCATCTTCAAGATTGAAAGCCGAAAATTCCACACTGCCACCCAATTCTCGTGCAAGCGCTTCTCCTTTCTCCCTGAAGGCCACATCATTAATGACTTGATAACACACTGAAATTGTGTTTGTTCACGGTATGTACCAAGCTGATAAGTGAGAAGAAATTGAATGTGAAGTGCATAAGAGGTTGAATTTTCTCGCGGTTGTAAAGGTGTTGCAGCAAAAGAACTTGATGAGTGTTGTATGAAATCTGGAGCGGTTGGTGGTACCTGTTGCGGCCGCCAACAATTAGATGTAGGTCGCCACCTTTCGCCAATGCACGAAGTGTCGAAGCTCCAACTCGTCCAGTTCCGCCCATTACAAGCACTTTCTTCTTCTGACCGCCCGCCTCTTCACCCGCCTCTGATCCCTTTGCATGACACACTAGCCGTGTTCCTGCGAGAGTTGACGAAACGGCGTAGGCAAATAATTCACGGAAAGTGATCGATTTTTCTTGTAAACCATATATTCGTTTTTGTGTCTGTGTCGTGAAGAAGAGTCTCACCAGTGCGTTGTGCAAAGCGTTGATTTCGTCTCTGGGTGGAATTGACATTCCACTTATTCAGCTCAATATTACACTGCAATACATGGCAAAGCAGGTGTCAGGCCTAAATTTCTCTTCGGGCTGCTCGATGCTAACCCCTAGAACTTGAGGCACGTTGCCGTAGTCTAAAATTCCGAACCAGACGCTAGGAGCGGAAGGGATTACCGGTTCAAAAGCTAACCACCACCTCGCCAGCTGGGTTGTCGTCGCCATTGCCCCGCCCACCTTCAATCTTCTCCTTGCACGTATGGCTTCGTTTACTTCATTAATGCTTCCGCCCCCTACTCACAACCCATCAACTGTTAGAATTGAACCACCCTACATTGGAATTGCTCTCAATCAATCAATCAATCGACCGATTTCTCAACTCCTCACTCGAAGCTAAGTCCAAAGAGTAGCTCAACGTTCCCACAGCAATCCAGCACCCATTCAAATTAATTCGTCACCATAGCTTATTACCTATACAGCCTTGCTATCTGTTCCCTCAATCCTCTTCTGCTCTTGCGATCTTTAGTGTCACGCGAATATTCTCTCTCTTGCGTAGTGCAGATAGCAGTAGCACTGCTCAGCAAGTATACTTTCTGCACGATCCCTTCAACTGGTGCAAGTGTTCACTCTTACTCCAGAAACATCGAAGAAGCAACGGTGTCGTGGACTCACTAAACCGTGAAACACATTGTGTGTCCTCAATCGTTACACGAAAACCCACACTTCGCATCGCTCTCTCGCAGAAGGGTGCACTTTTGGATGCCACTTATCCAGAACGCTCCTCCTGTTGTCGTCCGTGAGTTGGTTTCTTTCGTCCCAGTTCGTCCATTCCTCGATTGTTCCTTGTCAACCTCGTTCGACGGTGGCGCTCGTCGAATTATCCAAGTGGATGACAACAGACAACGCCTCAACTCAGGGTCTCTGGCGGCAAAACAAACTCTCAAAATTCTGCCAGACGAAAGTAAAGCATTCATAGCAATGCCCTGGTGCATTCAACGTGCTATTTTTTTAAAATTAGTTCCCAAATTTTTTCATAGCTCAGCAGTGTCTTGCCACATGGTGCACTCGCACAGGCTTAGAGGTGTGTGCTGCCTGGTTGTAGTCTCCCTTAGAGGTGCATCAAATTGATAGCTGTGTGACCCATAACACATTCACTCAAAGCTCGAATATTTTCTAACGAATCTGACTTCGAAATAAGTTCTTCCGACCCTCCAGAAACATGATTTGGAACACGAGAATTTCAAAGGCTGAGATTGTGCAAGCATTTAGATCCATGCTATAAAATCCCTTAATGTGAACCAAGCTGGTTGTGCCTGAAGGTTATGTGAGCAACCCCTCGAAATCTAACAAAAATCTGGTGTACACTTTAGTCATCATGCAGAATCTGTGGATAGGTGCCATATAAAACTGTCAGCTTACAGAAAAAGTTTTCGAGAAAACCCCCCTGGTTGCTTTAGTCACTCTCAATAGTAGGGCAGTGCTTGTTTTAAGAAGAGAATACCATCCACTCTTACAATGTGTGCTTAAGCTGTTGCATGATAAGAATCACATAATTTCTCACAGCTGTCCAAGCATTCATGGCCGAATCGACCACACTTGGCCATGGATATATTACAATCGTGACATTGCACAAATTATATATAGCTCGAGTCTCAGTCAGATTTCTCCGAATCTGGCTCCAGTTTCCTATTGACCAAGTAAATAGACAAAAGAGTCACGCTAGCTCCCGCAAGCTGTATTCCATTTAGTTTCTCATCCAATAACAAGTACCTGCAGAAACAAGTCGGCGATCAGAAAATTTTAAAAAATAAAGATCATAAGATTTGCTGGTATAATGAGAAGAGCATCATTTCAATAAGCTATAGTAACCCATTCTTAAAAGAAAGAAACACATCTAGCGTTACCCAAAGAAAGCGGCGAACATCGGAGTGAGAAACGTCAGAGAGCTCAATTTGGTCAGATTGCCTGCAAGAAAGAGGCGTATTCTCGTTAGCACAAGTACAGCCATCTGCAAACATGCTGGCGGAAGTCTAACTTGCTGCATTCAAAACCGGAAACTTCAATAAGCACTTCATGATTTGTGTAGATTTGCACCTTTTGTGGCATTATAAAAGAAAACACCATAACTAATAGCACTTCCAAAGACGGAAGTGTAGAAGAGCGCTGCCCAGTCACTTGCAGACAGGTCTTGTATGTGACCACTAATTGCAGGATCTTGCTGCCAAACAGACAATGCCAGCAATGGCAACCCTCCAAGAATCATATGCTGCCAGACCGAATCACATCATTAGATCTCTTGAAAATTCGTGTTGCAAGACAAAACTTTATGAAAATTCCTTCAAAACAATCGAGAGAGACGAGAAATGAAGATACAGAAAGCAGGTAAGGTCAGACAACTTACCCAGCCCGTGGCCATTATAGGATCTGAGAACTTGGAAACCCATCGCACCATCACAGTCCCCACAGCCATGCTTTGTGCTGCAAGGAGCATCCACCACTCTCCACTGTCCCAGATAGACCAGGTTCCTTCTGCAGGTTGCACAATAGAACTAGTCGACTGCACGACGTCTTGAGTCCCTCCTGGCTGAGGTATATTCTGCAACACTTCTAAAGGAACCTATACTTTCATATGAAAAAAATACGCACAAGTAAATAATTGTCCAGGATGGAACTGTTAACTAAAAATGATTTGATCTGTCACGACGAACCCTATCATGATCAACTCTTCACATCAAAAGTTACATGTAGATGATAATCAGATTCTGAACAGTCAAACTAGTATACACGAACAAATCGGCCAAACAACACAAGGATGTAGATTTGAAATATTAGCTTGAGAATGTACTTGAAGAATGATTTTCAAGGAGGGTGTTTACCTCCAATAGAACTAGCCCAACGACACCCAAACCTAGGCCTACTATAGCGATAGGTCCAAGAGTCTCTCCAAATAAGATAGAAGCTAGTATGGCTACTGTCAATGGCTGTGAGTCGATGATAACCTGCTCCATGTCAACACCAACCCAACCAGGAAATTTATGTCAATATGCCAATCTAAACTACACACATCATGCCACTTCATACTCGCAAAGGAACATCCCAACACTCAATTTCATTCTGCTAATTTGCGAACATTGCACTATGCAAGGACGTTCGTGATCACATTGTAGTAATGGAAACTCAACGTTGAACTAACAACATTCTGGAAGGCAATAATTAGAGCAAAAAAGTTAGAGACACATATCACAATCAATTCTATTGCAAGCATACCCGAATCAAGAGTGAAGACGCTGACACTGCACAGTATCAAAATATGTGTTGGTAAGAAAAGCTCACACTGCCAAGGCCAGCACTAGTTCGACGTAGCCCTTCTGTCAAAAAGCCCTGTTCCCAAATATCCCCTATGATGAGTTCGATAGCACCAGTTCCCAACTCATGACTGTTTGAACTGCGTCATTGCTTTACCATGAGAATTGACCAAATCAAATTACAAGAAGCCACTAGAATCCATCTGAATGGCTGGCTTACAACTAACTGTTGTGTACAGTGTTAACACAGAACTTATCTTTCTTTAGCCTGCACTTCGGTGCCTGCCCTCAAAGTCGAAGTCTAGAAACATTTTTCGGAAAGCCGATGGAAAACCACTCATGTAATCACATAACTCGGAAGTAACGAAACATTAAAAGGAGCGATACCTGGAAGCAAGTAGCATCGACGAGTCCAAACAACGCAATAGCAAACCAAGCAGATGAACCTGCTGGCATTTTCTTTCCTTTTGCACTGCTCATCAAAGCAAAAGGGATTTAATGCAATTGGAAGTACTTTTAGTCTATGGATAGGGTTCTCAAGGGCACCCTATTCAAAAAATAACTTCCTTGAAATCGTTCTGATTTGCTCAAGAAAAATACCTGGCAAATCCAATAACTAAAGCTCCAGCAGGAATTAGCCTTGTAGAGGCCACAAACATTGGCCCCGCCTTGGGCAGAATTCCCTTCATAGCCACCATGGCTGTGCCCCAGAAAAAGAAAGGCGATAACAACAGCAAAGTATCCAATACAGATTCTATCAAGCTCGATTCCGAATCGGTTTTCTCATTCTTAGTCTGTCTCGCGGTATTAGTTAATACTCTCTCAGGTCGCTTTCCCAGCGAATCAGCCCCATCCACCTCATTAAACGAAGTCACGCACTCCACATCCATAGCTGTTCCTATGCAGTTCATCTCCTCTTCTTCATCTGTACCAATGGTTGTCTCGTTGCCACTACTGGAGAGATCGCTTACAACAACCTTCTGCGACCCCTGATTATCATCTTTAGTTGCAAACATGGGCAATGTGGCGAATAGTTTGGGCTTGTAGGTATGGAAAGAGTGGCTCTGTGTTCTGTACAAGAAAAAAATCTCACTAGGCCCTTTGAGGCTGTATCGTCTTTGTCTCCGAATGCACCTCACATTACCATTCTCCAGCTCCAACCGTTTCTGAAAAAAATCATGACCCGATTGCCAGATTTCAGTTCAACCTCGCTAATTCTTAATCCCATCTCCTCGTCTTTTACCTGAGACACAACAACCCTCAAAAGCTCGAAAAACAACAGCAAACTACCACAGCCTACGATTGAGAAGTAGCAGCGTTGGGGACAAGAATATTCACCGGCCAAGAAGCTGACCAACATCTCGTCATCTGGGTTGCCATCGCCATTGCATCCACGCACTTACAAACCTGCATGCCCTTCACAGGCTGCCCTCTACACTCAACCGCAAGTGCACTTGCAAGGTTTCTTTTTATTTCCTCAATATTTCCGCGCCCTGCTCATCATACAGCACTCATAACTCTCAGACCTGAACCTTCTGATCATGGTTTCTCAACCAATTTCTACAGCGAAAATTCTCAACACCTGATCGATGCTTATTGCACGCGTCCAGCTCTACAATTTTACTCCGACCTCAGCTCTTGCCATTCTCCTCAACTTTGCCATAGGAAATCCAACCCAATTTTAACTCAATTTGAAAACCGACACCTACCTGCAGTGTGACACTTACTCGTTGGAAGCTAGAATTGCTCGATGGGGGTTGGTTCCTAATTGTTACGCGAAAGCCCACATCTCGCATCGCGTCCACGATTGAGACACACACGCTGCAATTTGCCACTTATCCAGAAAGCAACACTCCTCTTCGAGATTTCGTCGTTGGACGGCTTCGTCACATCAACGCCCACATCTTCGTCGACTTGCATCGACGTCGAGCTTTCGCTTGAGGAATTGCTCGAACAGAACCACGTCGGAGGACAATGGACGACTATAATTCCTCGTCACATTATTTTCGCCCGTCGACGGAAAACTACATAAATCTCATTTGTAAATATAACACGAAATGCAACCAATTTTCTATTTCTTCAAATTTACTTGTTCATTAAAAACTCTATTATAAAAATGTGAAAACTATGCACATCTCTAAAACCATGCCATTGTAGATCCTTCAACAAATTTCAATGAAATACTCGAGTTCCTGCAAAATAACTACATTCAACACTTGGAAGACACTAACCAACAAACCACATTTTTAGCATAATTTGTTTAGCATAATTTCTGCCCTAAAATTGCTTCGACTACAAAAGTTTACATGAGAAAGTAACGTTCAAATAAAGTTACTGGGGTAGTGCCAGTGGCAGTTGGCGAGGGAAGGAAGCTTCTAGATGCCCCTTTTCTGCTCACATGGGCCAGGCAAAAGCTTCAAGGGGGTGGCGAAGAAGGGGGCCAGGGTGGACATGGTGCGCTGCCTTCCCTCCAGGCGCACTGTCACATCGTGCGGTCGCAGCAGCCTGGAGTAGGGTTTCCATACCTCCGCCCCCCCTCCGACTACTGACTTTGTGGGTTATTTTTGGTTTTCGATTTGTGTGGTGACTCGCTTCTCGTGAAGAGTCACGCTCCAGGAGAAGCCACATCTGCGAAGTCGTCTTGGTATCTGTACTCGTAACGTTTCTGTGGTTTCGTTGCGTGTATTTGGAGACTTAGGGTTTTCCGTTGTTGCTGTTATTCGTGGTAGGCGCTGTGAGATCTTGTGTGTGTCTGTGTGTGTGTGTGCGTGCGTGGGTTGGGAGCGGTAGAAGTGGTGAGAGGGCTGGTAATTTGTGGTTCAGGAAATGTCGACACCTGAACACTCGAGGGAGCCATGCCCCGATCGGATATTGGACGACATAGGGGGCGCGTTTAGCATGGGAGCGGTCGGGGGATCTGCGTGGCATTTCGTGAAGGGCATGAAGAATTCGCCGAAAGGGGAGCGGGTGTTGGGTGGGACGCAGGCTGTGCGTCTGAACGCCCCCCGAATTGGAGGTAGCTTCGCCGTATGGGGGGGTTTGTTTAGTACCTTCGACTGCTCCATGGTTTATCTGCGGCAGAAAGAGGATCCGTGGAATTCGATTGCGGCAGGAGCGGCCACCGGAGGGTTTTTGCAACTTAGGGCGGGCGCGCGATCGGCTACGAGGTCGGCGATCTTTGGAGGTTTATTGTTAGGGTTGATAGAGGGCGCTTCGATTATGTTGAACAGGGTGATGGCCAATGTAGCGCAGCCACCGATGGAGGAGATGCCTCCGATGGCTGGAGCTTCTGCGGGGCTGGGATATCCTAGTGGAGCATATGCTGGGTATGCTGGTGTCGGTGGGCCTTCTACGGCACAATTTCCACAATCGTATCAGGATCAAAGTACGGCACCAGCGCCCGAGACTTCTAGTGAGGGAGGAGGGTTCTTTGGTAGTTGGTTTGGAGGTAAGAAAGAAGAGTCTCAGCCATTGAGGAGTGAGAAGCTAGACAGCTTCGATGGTAATTCCAAGCCTCCGACACCCGGTTTTGACCTGAAGTAAAGTTCTTTCTATTTTTTTCTTTCTGATATCGTTTTAAGATTAGCTTTTAAAAACTTTTGTAGCGGAGCGTATGCCCTTTCAGCAGACAGGTGAGGTTGCTTCAAATGTTATTGGGTGATTTTCATCACTGAAATGCAGTTTTGATATCACGGAATACGGCATTGAAATGCATGTCGTCTAATTTTGCCTTCAGTTTGTTCTATCATCATGTGGTTGATTCTCGGGTCTCCTCTGTCGTGCTTCATGGTAATGTCTAGATCATGAGGGACTCGGCAACTTCAATCGGAGTAGTTGTTTTTTATGTGTCGTAGAAATACCATGCTTAAAATCTGTATGCTATTCATCTAGTATTGTGGATGGTCCTCTATTCTAATAGCTTTCGATCCATCTTACGCGTTGGATTGTTTTTCAGTTGATGATATTTGATAGTGCGTTATGTAGCTCTGCTGTTTCTGCTGCACTAATTGAACGAATACAATTTGAAGGGCACAGTCTCATGCATTCGGTTGCTTGTTGCCCAAGAAATTGCCACAACAGAGCGAGGGTAGGCTTACGTTCTCTCACCCTAGTCAACGTTGAGCAGGAACTTGGAATTCTGTGAACAGGAAATCTGTGTTCGTCGTAGGATAGCCCCAGCTGTAATTCTAAAGTTCACTTTAAGAATTCGAATAAATATGGAGCTTGAATTTTCTTTTCCGTTTGATGAGGTTATGTTAACACAGTGGTCGCCCGACGTTTCTAGAGGACTTCGCACCCTTTTTGATTGGCTTATATCTTTTAAATAATAGACTTTATTCCTTCACATTTTCATGTATGTTGAGAATGAAAGCTGAATACAAGGTAGAATTCACTTGGTGAACTGTATACTAACTTCAGCGCAGGCGATGCCTGTAGCCTGCAATAGTGCACAGAAGATGCCGCAATGGCTCGGGGCCATTTGTGTGAGTGAATAATTGAAGGTAATGGCAATATAGATGAAACAGATGTAAAAGCAACCGGAGACTCGGTTGAGCAGAATCACATGGGGCTGGAGTTCACTCCCTCTGAGCCCAGGCTAGAATTTGGTGTGAGCGATTCGATTGTGAACCTTGGAGGAGAAGCAACAATATGCTTTTTAAAAAACAGCAGTCATATTTCTACCCAGAACCTTGGCTGCTAAGAAATTCTAGCCGTCTTTGGGAGTGTTGACTAACTTGTACGCAGTTCACGTGCATGCTTGCATTGAAAAAGTCGCTGTCGTGGGGAGTAACGGTTTAAACTACAGAAATGGTTGTACTAAAAATACTATTTTAGGCAATGACAAGATTAGTTTAGCCGCATATGTTAACAATATCTACATTGCGGATTGCAAAGAAAAAAAAGGTCCTAGTTCAATCTACAATTGTACAAAGAATTTGACATGACAGACCTAAGACTAATTGACAAATACTTGGAAACAAAACTTAACTACTTACCATTAAGTACGCCCTTGGTATGCTTCTTAAGTTTGGAATGTTGGATTGCAATCTAAAACTAAAACATTTTCATCTGTAACTTCAGATCCATCTTTTGACCAACATAAAGTCTTCTTGCACTAACAACCACAAAATTTGCACAATAGTAGAACTATTAGTATTCCTAGTCACAACCCAACCATATTTAGCATACTCTGTGAGTTCCCATGTTTCCATTTAAGTTCACTTTCATACAATCAAGCATTTTCTATGTCATATCAAGAATATAATAAACTTTGGATTTTTTTACAAACAAAAAATATATATATATAGATATATATATAAATATATATTTTATAAAGGCTACAACAATACAAAGTGGAGATCTTGTCTCAACACTTGCAGCTCCATATAGGGTTAATGCTTCTTAGTCAAGGGTTCTTCAATTATTTGGCATAGTAAAATTACAACTAATGGTCTTCAAAAGCATCATTGAGTCAAAATATATGAGTCTTTGAGATGGAACTTTAGAAGTTATTTAATTAAAGAGACTACTTACACAAATTGATATGTATTTACCTTCAAATCCTATTCAATTTATGCTTTAGCACTTTTGTATTGATTGGATCAATATCAATATAACTTTAGGAATTATCTACAAGTCTAAATGAAGAAGCTAATGAGTTCATTGATTTGTTGTTTGATTATAATATCATATAATACAAGAATATTTTAAAATAATATTTGTAAATTTAAGGAAATTTATTTCTAATTGTATAGTTTGTAATATCATAAATATAAATGAAAACCTAATACTAATAATATCAATCTTTATTTAAAAAGAAATAAATATGCACATTGTAACAATGGTAATATTACAATATGTTTTATTTTTATTTAAATGTATGTATGTATGTATATATATATATATATATATATATATACACATTAGTAAATATAATAAATTATAATATTATATTTTACTAATTTTATTACTAAATGATGTTAGATCTTGTCCATCTTTAAATATAAGAAATGTGTCATAAAAATATAACTATTAAATAAATAAATAATATATATGTATATATATATATATAGATCTAAATTCAATACCATTAGAAAAATATAATAAAATAAGATTATTTTATAAATTATGCTAAATAAACTAAAACAAATTAGTTCATCAGAGACATAAACTTATACATTACACAAAGTAAAACATTATTTAATTTAGACAAAGACATAAACCATTTTGAAGATAAAATATTTATGTTTAATCTAAATATTAAAAAAAATAAGAAATAGTTATGACAAATTTTAAAACAAACCATTTCAAAAAGTTTTGAAATAAATAGTATTTGCTAGATTAGTTCTTAAAGATTTCATCTATGTTACTATTGGACTATTTACAAAGTTTTCTTTCAAAAAAGTAGGAGATAAAAATGTGAGAATGTTAAAAAGACCCAAATTTTTACCGAACTAACCTAACCATGATGAAGAATATGGCAATCATGATGAATGTAGTTGTTTTATTAATACTGGAGAAATGCTCTAGATGTCATTTTGTTTTTTAGTAAAAGCCTGGTCTATTTAACATTCCCCTAAAAACATTAGAAATTTATTGAGTAAAATGTATTTGGTGGAAGGTCGCAAAATTTTGGTAATGAATGTCGGAATCTTATAAAGTGGTTAAAAAGCCCGGCGAATTGGAGCGGGTGTAGTTGTGGAGTTTGTGGAGTTTGGGCACTTGCCGCACTAATTGTGTTCCGGGGATGAAGAAGAAATGCGCGGCGCCCAGGTTTCGGAGTCGGATTCGGATTCGGATGGCGTTGTCAGAAAGAGTGACGATGCGGCATTGGCAACACGGTCACGATCGGAGGATTTCGCTGTCATGCCGCGCACTTGCTCTGTTTGGATACGATTTGTCTCCGGCATCACTTGGAATCACGAGCCTGCCACGCGGTGGCATCATCGTCTTCGACCATGAGTAACTGGTTTTTCTTCTGTCGCACCTCAACTCATCTGTGCACTGATAGATTCCCGGTGTTGGTGTGATTTTGCTGCTGCATCATTTGTTTCGGATTCTGTGGTTTGAATGTGGGTTTGCTCGCGACAGATGGTCGCTGTGATGACGTTACAAGTAGTGGCGGTGTATTGATGATTGGTTGGTTTCCTGCGGCGCTGGATGCCTTCCCTTGAAAATGTTCCGAAATGTGAGTTCCTTGCAGAATGGTCCATGTGTGGTGGAGAAGTAGAAATTGCTTTGTTGGGGTTTGCGTGAAAGATTCGGAGGGTTGATGCTGAAGTTGGGCACGGAGCCTGCCGAGTGTTTGACCTAGAGTCTGGGCGGAGTTGACAAGGATTCAACAATGCAGCCTCAGCTGGTGTGTGGTAAAGCATCGTCAACATGCGTGACGATTCCGCATTCAGTCATAGTGTTTCCGACGACAGATTCGTCACATGTGTCCGTGGTGGGTTGTAGCCGGTTTCCAAGAGCAATGCGGCGCCAGATGAACTGGCAGATTCGTTTGGCCAATTATGGAGTGCTGAGTCTGAGGGGCAGGCACTCTATGTTAACCCGATTCGCTGCTCTTAGTGGAAACGAAGCAGTTGAGTTAGAGCGATTCGGGTCGAAAGGAAACTTGAACGGGGAAAGTGGTTTGCGAGGGCAAGAGGGTTTAGTGTTTTCCGTGGGAACATCTGCACCGTCTCCCATGTCATTTCGAGAGTGGTACATGGCCGATAAGCAACTCGTGGTTATTTCTTTCAGCGCTTTCGTGGTATGTTTCTCTTCATCGCAGAAATGCTGAATGTCGTGATTGAGTGCTACTGTTATTGCAATTTGTATTGCTTGTTTAGCACTGATTTGCGTTGTTCATCACTTTCATCTCATCAAATGTGGAGAGCATTCGTGCATGTTGGTATGCTCGGCGAATGATTTCTGCATCTTTAACGGATACATTGATCGTTTTATGCTTACAGACAACTGGATTCATGGCAATTTTACTTGCAGCTGCTATTCCAAGTCTGTTGGTAATCTTTCCACTGCCTTTCTGCAGCTTGTGTTTCTCTTGCTCATGCCTTTAGGATCTGAGATTGGACACGATACGTCTATCTTTAGTTTTCTTTTTACTGTCGTTCACAGTGTAATGTTCACTACCTTCGCGCACAACGAACCTAACTTTTCTCGTCTAGGTGTAGAGTTCAAACTGTGCATGTGCAGTATTTTATAAAATATCTGGGCCGTTGGGGGCCTTATTGGTCATATGTTTGGTTGTAGTGTTCAAACTCTGTACATGAAAGATAGCAACGATGGCTTATGTCACAGTCTGTTATTTCAACAGGCTATTAAGAAGGCGGCTGAATCGCTTGAGAAGCTGGCAGACACAGCGAGGATGGAGCTGCCTGGCACCATGGCAGCTATCAGATTGTCAGGAATGGAGATCAGTGACCTCACTATGGAGCTCAATGACTTAGGGTGAGTAATATTTTAATCACAAACTCTTCCTTCATAGTATGATCAATCATTTTGAGTAAGGAAGCGGAGACTGTGTCGTAGAAAGTAAGTACACTGAACAAAAGTAACCGTCTGTAGTGAATGAAACGGGTACTGCAAAAATGAGGATGGCGTCGGTGCATTTGTGCAGCAACGTTCTGTGGTTAGTAAACTTTAGTGAGCACTTTGACACTTAGCTCTTCTGTCTGTTGACTAACCGGAACTGCACCTTTGTGACCTGGCAATATGATCATCTTATGCGTAGTTCTTACATCAATCTTAACCTGACTGTATTTGTTTTTTGTCATTTAGTCAAGAGATTTCTAGAGGCGTTAGAAATTCAACTCGTGCTCTTTCAGTTGCCGAGGCTGGGATGCGGCAAATAGGCGGACTTGCTAACAATGGTGAGCACCTACTTTGCTTTTCGATTTTCACCGCACCACTTATTGCTCCTTCAAAACCCATGCTAGTTCTTCTCCTGTTGGAGATTTTCTGCTTGCTGTCGCGTTCGCACTTGTGAGATCTTTCGGGTGCTTTGTGAGGATCTCGTTGTTTGATAATGTTCATGGGCATCCACAAACATTAAATGATTGCTCAGTTTGGCAGGAACGGGCAGTCGTTCCAGCACAAGCGATGCAGCCTCTGGTGGCTCGCACCGCAAGACAGGTGCGTGAAAGTTTGGTCCAGACTCGGGTTCTGGTTCACAATTTGCAAGTTCTCTCACGTGTCTCCAGTTGGCTTGGTTCTCTTCCTAGCCGCACCCCTGCTCTGATTATACCTTCTCAGAAGAAGGGTAATTAAGATCCTAAAGCATGGTTCACATAAATCAAGTCTGTTCGGGACATCTTATCATATTCTGCAATCAAGTGATGGGCACTGAGTGTGTACCTCAGACGAAGTTGTAGAGATTCTATTTCTGCTCGAAATATCCTCTTTCGAGTTGTGGAGCGACGAATATCACGAACAACAGACTGTCATTCCTGAATAGACTGCAGGTGGCTTATGGTCTTCAGCGACGGACATTCACTCTTGGTATCCTTGTACTTGATCTGATTGGAAGTCACTTGAAACATTTCTTATAATTCTCCCTGCAGTATTCGTCGTGGATCATGTCGATTGTGATTCATTGTCTCCATTTGGATCGTGATGATATTCATTGGTGGGACTTCTTACTGATCTTGCGATTGAGTCGCCTCACAACACATCGTTGAAACGGGTGTTGCAGTCTCGATAAATTGTATTCAACATCCTACAGTGCCTGACGATTGACTGATGGTGCTTCATGTGCCATCTCTCACCTGCACATTAACGTTAAGAGAATTCAGTATGCTCTACTTTTCTCACGCTTCCAGCTGTGAATTGGTTGATTCGACTGCTGCGTTGAACTGTCTGTACTCTTCTTTTTCCTTGACATTCTGTTACCAACCTACAAAAAACAATACTCCTTTGCTCTGTCTACGAGCAGGTCTCAAACTGAATGTCACGAACTAGAGACCTACTGCACTGTGTATATATTAAAAAAAGTATTAACCATCTGCAAAAGATAATAACAGAAACAGTGAGAGTACATCAAAACACCGACACGCTCAGGCACGTTCTTCAAAGTAAGGCTACAGAAATTCGGTACGAGATTGTTCGTTTCCCGGCGACCTATCCCTCGTGCATACTGGATCCCTGTCTAGTTGTCTTCCATGACCACTGTGCCTTTTGTTCAATGTCCCGGTCGTTCGGTTAAGTAGAATCTACAAACATGATTTCTCGATTCTAGCCAGATATAAAGGTGGCCAGTCAATTGGCTGCATCAGGCCTAAAATCGGTCGTAGTTCGGCACTAACCTATCAATGCAACCGGGACAAGATCGAGCACAAGAAGCTATTCAACATCATTTCTGGATTCGAATATCTTAAATAAGCCCAGTCGCAGTGCCTGGTAAGATTTAAAGGGTGTGATGAGAGCACAGCGGATCTAAGAATCATAATCAAAGAGCGTCATGAACTATTTTATCTAAATCTGTTACTTTTCGGGAATTTTGTTTATTTTTCATTTTATTATATTTTATTTTTTACAGTGGTCGTTTTGATCGACTCATTAGCCGTTTTTAGAAAATCAGGAAGCAATGAAATATTGAATGGATGTCACGAAGGGTCCAATACATTACAAGGAGAATGTCTCAATAATATTCTACAACCTATTTTTATATCAAATTTGTTCTTTCTCACCACAATGGATTTTCTTATTGCTTTTTGAATATATTTAGATATCAATTTTCACATTTTTAACATATAAATCTGAAGGATCAAGTATTTAATCTTGTATTGGTGGCCTTTGTATGTGGATGTAATAAAAAGTGGAAGAAAAGGCGCTTTATAAAAAAAAAACTAAAACCCAGACAGATAAACTCCTCCTAAAAGACAATAAAATATTAATAAAAGAGGGAGCATAAAAATCTGTTGGAGTGGAGGCTAAGTAATCCGATTATAGCTTCCCCTGTTAAGAATAGGATGTTGATTGTTGTCCCCTACAAAGGTTCAACGACACATTTTGTCCAAAAACATTTCACCAACCCACAGCTATTCAACCAACAAGAGAATGACGTTTCACATACCCCGTTGGCTCCCTCTTGTTGGAGATATGCATAGAGTGTCCTCTTGAATCAGCCATTAAAGAGACAAAAAGTAGATTCAGAGCCGGATTCATGTTCACCCACAGCAACAAAAAGTAATCGTCGAACATTTGGATGTGCACATTTCCAAAACGCAAAGACAAAACATACTTTAATTCAGGAGTCTTGGGAAACCTCGTTCCATCACCTCGAAAAGGCACTAGAACCGAAAACCCTGAAAAGTTTATTTCTCGACATGAATATGTCGAATGTGATCTTGTCGCAGATTTTATCTAGAGTGACATTGATCGATAACTTTGGAATGAACCTTGCTAAGAAACTGGGTGTAGTTCCACGAAACCTGTATATGTACTTTATCCACAACATCGCTCGGAGGTGATGGTTCGTTCAAATCCTCCTCGCCATGCACTTGGTGACATAGTCGATAAGCTCAATAACTGCTCCATGCCAATCTTGAGAATCTTCATTGCACGATGAGACTGTCTGATAACGATTACAACCAGCAAATCCTGCCACAGTTCTCTGAAATGTCCCCGGGCCGTGTGTCATGCACAGTGTCACCTGCACTGTCTGGTCAGATCGTTCAGATGTTTGCACTATTCATCGACGTGGCCACCTTTTTTCTCCCCAGGAAAGCGACATTCTCAAACCGAGTAGTTAGAGATAGCTTATTATAACACTACCTGAGAGAAAGCAAACAACACGTGGCTTGTGCGTGGAATTGAAACTCGACATAGATCTCTCATACAGCTTTCTGTGGGTAAACATGTATCCGGCTCTGAATCTGTTCTGAGAACATGAGAATCTGCAACACGGTTCCTAGAAAAGTTCTTCAAGTTCAGTTTCATTTCATGATACAGATTTGCTTCAGCTTGCAAGCTCCTCCCAAGTCACCTGCCCTGCATTTGGTGTAAAGAAATGAGAACCCAAAAACCATTCGGATTGTTTTAGTTGGCCAGTGATAGGCAAGACTTCTTAGTGTGCTCTCTGCTGAAATGTGGTTATGGCTTTGGACCAAATACCACTATCAGAAAACACCACTGTTACCTATCACAAACTTGGCTTCAACTTGTTGCTAGTAAAAAGTTTTTTAGGCCATTTCTTTGTTATTCAATAAGTCAAAGATATGTCCTTATTTTTGAAAGAAAATAAATTGTGTACATCATTTGGCACATTGCTGTGAATGCATAGGTTTATTATGATCCTTTTTAGAATTGAAAATTTGAAAATTAAAAAAGTTGAAATAAAAAATTAATATTATTTTTCAATATTTTTATTTAATTTTTATTTTATAGATGTGTTTTTTAATTATATGAATATAGAATGAGTTTTTGTATATTTTTTTTACTATTTTAAATTAATTTATTTAAAAATTAGCTATAAATAGTTTTTAAATTCAATAAATAAAGTAGATTCTAAAAAAGCATCCAAAACTAAAGAAACATAATCTTATTTGAATTATATAATCTAATCCAATCATCAAAACAAAAAGGTATTATTCTTTCTTCTAAAAAGAGCTATTATGGTCTTTGGTAGTGATTTAATAGATAATACCAAAACATTTAGTTATCAACTAAAAATAAAAAATGATCTCTATTCTTTTCTTTGACATTAGCAATTTTTTTTGTAGATTTTATATATCTTTAATTTATTTTATTCCCATTGTATACAATTTATTTGCTCTTATAGAATCAACATAAATGTTGATAAGCATAAATTGTGTATCTTGCTATAGAAATTTATTCTATACTATAAAGAAAAACAATAGATCATTGGTTTTTAAAGATTATATCATTATGAACTATTCTAATTGATCTATTCTAATTGGGATATATATAGATATATATATATATATATATATATATATATATATATAATTTGGATTCAAGTTCCATTTAAAATCTTGACTCTATTTTCTTAAAACTATACAAATTGGTTGCATAAAATATTAGCTTAAGAATAACTATAGATTAGACTCATCTAGGTATAAGGTTCCAATAATTCACTTAAAAAATATTATAGTCAAAGCCTCTTTTAGGTCAACAACTACTAATCTATCTTCCTTGGTTGATTTACAAAAAATATTTCAAGCCACCTTTATAAAGGTTAAGGATTGATAGTTGATCTATAAGAAATTCATTAAATTTATTTTAATTTTGATTAATAATTTCTTAAATCCAATCAAAATTAATATCATGATTTTTTTAATCTAATCTAATAGAAATTTTGATATTTTATTATTTTAAGTCAATGACAAATTATCTTAGTATGCTCATGTAAGTATTGGATTCTTTCTATTGCTAATATATAATATACTTAAATCAATTAATGTCTCAAATTGATGCTATTCTAAATTATCTTAGCTACCAAGGATTTCTTTTTAATAGTAAAGATTTAATTATCTATATATTTACTTAAAATTTATTATATATATATTTTTAATTATATAATATTATAAGTATTTTTATCAATAATTTCTTTCTAATAGATTAAGTAAAGATTTTTATCTACAATAAAGAATAGGTAAAAAAGAAGTATACCTCATTTCATACATTATTGCAATTAAAAGATTTTCTTTTGTATTATTATTAATGCAAACCAATATCTTTGATTTAATAGATAATATATATATATATATATAAATAAATCCTATTTTAAAAATAAAAAACTATTATTTCTATCATTTTATAAAAACAAATTCTATATCACATTATTGTGTACTTTAGAGAAGTTAAGTTTTAATAAGATGGGAGATTAATTAAAGGTTTAAGCTTAAATAATAGTTTCTTAAATACAAATATATTTTTTTAAAATATATTTGAATAGCAAACAGATAATCTAAAGAGATAGAGCTACCTCTAGTAATTAGTGATCTATTACAATATTCAATAATTTGTATAAGATTTTTGCTACAATCCTCTAAAAAAAGACTTTGAAAAATCTTAATGGAAGTTTGTGGAGTTTTTAAAATCAAAGATTTTTTGAAGCCTTTTATATAAAAGGTTATATCAAAAATCTTATATAAAATAATAAACAATGTAATTGGTCAATAATTCTAAAGATGGCTCTATGTCCTCTCTTCAATAAAAGAATTATGTTGCATCTAACTAACTTATTTAAGAGTTATTTTCTTACAATACTATTTTTTAACATTGAAATATATTTATTTTCACTAATATTTTAATAAAATTGAAAGAATTATATTTCTAATTTTATCTAAACTTAGAGCCTTCTCTTTTGATGTATCTTTGATTATTAATTAAATTTCTTCTAGGCTTGATAATATATATCTATATATATATATATATATATATATATATATATATATTATCAAGCCTAGAAGAAATTTAATTAATAATCAAAGATATATATATATATTTGAAACTTTTAAAAATGCCTTTGCTAAGATATTTATAATAGCTTCTTATTATAGAGTTTTTTTTTTAAAATTATTTTAAATATCTTATAATAAAATTTATAATATATCTTGTGAAGTAATAAAGAATTATTTATGTGGAATCCATACTTATTGCAAAATTCTAGTACTTCTAATTCAATTTCTTTCTTTTATTTTTTTAGAAAATTTTAATAATTTTTTTTTTGTTTTAAATTTCTAATTTATTCTTGATCTTATCTTACAACTTTTATAAATATTTTATTTTATTTTATTTATTTTATTTTGATTTTTTTTCCACCAAAAGTTTATAGAATTTTTTGAAC